GTTTGCACAGCACCATTAGGCAGGTACAAATCTTTCATGTGGACATGCTTACTCCAGCAATAAGCACCTTTACGGGATATTAAACCAGAACAAATTTAGCAGTATAATTTATGTTGCTATAACTTGTAATTCTAGGGTAATGTGCTTGCATTATTAACGTTTGAACACATTATTATTATTATTATTACTCTTATTATTAAAGGCATGGCTGGAAAGAACTCCAGGACTCAACGCAGAAGGATTTGATTTCTGGGGACAATTTGAAGTGAATGTTTTAAAAGGCCTAGAAGAGAAATTTGCCTTGGTGCAGGTATATAATGTACTCTTGATCTAGCCATAAGCAACGACAGCTGGCAAAATGACATCCTGACATAAATCTGACTTTTGGCCCAATCACAGTTTCTCAGTCACTTCACTTCATCTTCAGCAGCTTCTGTCTGCAAGAAGCAGAAAAAATTGCAAACTTTTCCAGGAAATCTGAATAAGTTTGTAATTTGACATCTAAGATGGTTTAAAACGTATGATACATGGATGATTTTGATTGCAAAAGGAAAAAGATGGTATCAATGGAGGGGCTGACATTGATTTTACTGAAACTACAACTTCACCTTTAGTTAGTACTTGCGTCTACAGTTCAGAGTAAAACTCCACAAAGTTTGGGCCCATGAGCTGTGAGTATGGAGTGTCACTATAAACGGCCCATTTCTATTTAACAGTATGTCGCAATTTGCTGCTATGTGCTCATTTGAATTACACTGGCAAATAAGCACAAGAAATTCCCCGAATATTGTAAAACCTGTAGCTTTAAGTACATTTTTTAACGGAAAAAACCACCATAAGAATTAATCAATTTCCTGAGAATATCTCTTTACAACTTTCTAACTTATCTAAACTTTTTTATTTACAATTTTCTTACCCATAGTTGTGCAAGGATGTCTTCTTTTTGCCTTGAAAAAAAATAATAATCAGACTTCAAACAAATGAAGATTAAGTGTTTTTAAGGCTTCTAGACCTAAAGAAAAGTGACAAGCTGCCAGTTTGTTTGAACATTCATTCATCTGAATTACGTTGACAGCAATTTAATTGTACATTTTGTGGTACTTGTGTTTTTTAAAGGACAGTGACTCAGTGACTCATCTACCTTGTTTGAAAATACAGTTCTTACATTTACGATGTAAACTTACAGAGTATTTATGATTAAAATAGAAGTTACATCATGGGTCATTCAAGCACTTAATTTTCCCTATTGAATTCTAAAACCTGTTTGTTTTAAATACCAAAGGCCAAACCAGAATCAGAAGAAAAAGATGACTTATTATCTGAATTCCAAAACCAGAAAGATGTATTACTTTCGTTATTTGATGAAAAACGCCATGAACACCTGCTAAGTAAAGGTAGATTGTATTAATACATGTCAATATGCACTTTTTATTTTTTATACGTGTTGTGGTTTAACCAGGACAACATGATACCTATAATCACATAATAGCATTAAATTTGCAGGAGGATCAGCAACAAACTAAGGACACTTGTATTTTGCAGGAGAAAGACGACTGTCTTATAAAGCACTGAAGGGTGCCTTAATGATCTACTTCTACAGGTAACATTAGCAGACGTATCTTTAATGCTTACTGGCAGGAGGGGAGGTGAAGGTTAAGGACAGCAGCACAGGTTTATTTAGGTTGGAACAGGCCTTGGAAAGTAATCTAGTCCAACCCTCCACAAAAACCCAGATTAGTTAGATCCAATTTGAAGGTCAGATTGGGCTGCTCATGGCTGTGCCCAGTTGAGTTTTGAATATCTTCAAGGATGGAGATTACACAGCCTCTCTGGGCAGCCAGTTCGTGTCTGACCAGATGCCGCTCCTCAGACTGAAACCAGAAAATGCCTTCTTCAAACTGTTGTACAAAGTGTCCTAGAAAGATTTAGAGTATTTTTCCAAGTATGAGGGAAAAGGCACAGGTCGAGACTTACGTGGCAGAAGCATTTGTTAGAATATCTACTGACGTTTCAATACCAATTTAGGAAAAATATACATTGTCACTGTTATGCATTGGTGAAGCAATACTTTGAAAAATACAGCATATCATAAGAGGTCTCACTGTCTTCTCTTTCATTTTCCAAGGGAGGAGCCTCGTTTTCAGGTTCCCTTTCAGCTTCTTACCTCCCTTATGGATATCGATGTGCTCATGACCAAATGGAGATGTGAGTTTCACTTTTTGACTGTGACACTCCCTCCTTTAGATTCAAGTAAACTGTTCTGTTTCACCCTCTTCTAGACAAGTTATACCCAGAGTTTTAGAATTGAGCTTCTGAGTTCATCCTTTAGGAATGACTTTTTGTTTGTACGTCGGCCAAGAGGAAAGATGAACAGCTTCTTCTGTGATCATTAGATACATAGGTATAGCTATCGCTTCTACGACATGCTTTAAGTTAGGTGAAAAATTTTATTTAAGGGACAGGTATATATTTTCCAATGTCTGCCAAAACATCATAATGACAACTCTTCATTCCTTCTGCTCCTTCCCTATTTAGACATCCATAAATGAATGTATTAATTCTGTATTAACAGAGCATAATAATGTATAATAATTAGTGTATTCATTCCGCATTAACAATAATTTTATATCAGTTGACTGAAGAGTGGCAGAATTAACTCCTGCATTGCTGAAGACCTAGTAGTTCTGTATCTGTAAAGGTCTCTGTATGATCTTTAATATTTCACTGATGCACCTTGATGTGATTGGTTATACCTTAACACTGAACATATGCCATGTCCTTCTTTTGTATTACGTAGATAACCACGTCTGCATGGTGCACAGAATGATCGGCAGCAAGGCTGGCACTGGAGGCTCATCAGGCTACCAGTATTTGCGCTCCACAGTGAGGTAAGAATAACGCGTTTCCCCCATTACCTGCAATAACGCAGTTTGTAGGCACCGTCCTGCCAGGAGACAGATTTCAGACGGCTCATTGGAGGCCAGAGGGCTGTTGTTTCTCTTTTGGGACTCTAGCATTTCCTCCTGGCTGTTGAACATTGACTTACCAGGTTGACATATATAAATTCCAAGACTTTTGGGGCAAAAAGAACTCCTTCTGATTACTCATGCAAAGTGCCATTCATAATTCTCAGTCAAGGGATCTAGGCGTTACTGTAATAGCAATAATATGAATCCTGCATTGTTTCGTTTGTGTGCAAGCTAGCCCAAGTTAATGAGGTGATACAGGCTGGAAGTGAGTCCCGTCTACTGTGTGACCGATGACAGTTTCTTTATTCCTTAGCATGACCCCTAATCATACAACCTAAGCTACTTCCGTTTAGGACTGAATATATTCTTAAAGGTGATAGTAATTAATACTCTCAAGCTGTGCAAGCAACAATCAGAAACGTGTTTCCTTCTGTCGGATGAAGCAGAAAAGGAACTTAAAAGGGACGGTCGGGGCCTGAGCACAGAACTCTCTGAATGGGCAGAAAGTTTTTACACCAAATTCAGGATTCAGCTAGTTAAACAATTCAAGCTCTTTAGCTGCAACTACGTCCTGACAGTCCTGAACCACATTATGTCAAAAAGCACAAGGATATTTAAAACGTCTCCTTCTAAGAGGACCTTCCTTGAGGTTTGTTTTCAAAGAGAAACTGTACGTAGCTGGTAGCTGCCACGTACGGATGTGGGCAACGAGTCCCATCACAACCATTGTGACAGAGGGTGGAATAGAAAGCAGACGGTTAGATTGAATTCGAAGATTAAAGGCTCGCTGTCTTCTTCAGCAAGCCTTCTCACTCTTCCTTAATTTCAGGTTAACATTCTTCCTAGATAAATTCTACTTCATATCTACCACAAGAATGGCAGTCTGGAGATTATAGCCTACATACTCTGCATTTTCAGAAGAAAGGTGTGACTATAGCAACCATATTTTCTTTGAAAGTCTACTCTGCTACACCCTAGAAACAGTTAGGATTGGATTCTTACTCTAGAATATTCAGGAGGAGGGTTAGTGCAGAAACCTTATTAAATAAATGAGATGGAATGATTCCTGAGAATTTTGAAATTATGGCCTTCTGTGCCAATATAGCAGTATTAATTGTTCGCGATTGTCTTTTTCAGTGACAGATACAAGGTGTTTGTGGATTTGTTCAATCTTTCAACGTTTCTAGTGCCAAGACACTGGATACCAAAGATGAACCCAACCATTCATAAATTCCTGTATACGGCAGAATACTGCGACAGCTCCTACTTTAGCAGCGACGACTCTGACTAGCCTGCCTTTCTAGACTGGTTGCTGTGAAGAACTTCAGGACGTTCACCTCGAGTGGTGCTACCCCTCAAATATAACAGCTATTCTCTCGCAGTGTGGGTGTGTAAATATGTATTTATGTATGACAGCTATGTGAATAGTATGATCGGTTTCTGGAAGAAACTTAATTGTTTGTAGAAAAAAAAATCTGTATCGAGTTAGCCTATATTAAGACTAAAATGATACTCCAATTCAACTCGATGACCAATTTAACTCTTAGTTGGCTTCTTAAAACCTACACCTAGAGAGAGGGAGCAAATTATACAGAATTATCATGATCATGTCTTACTTGTACATATTTTTGTATTTGTTTTTTTGGCTAATGGCTGGGGGGGAGTTACTTTTACTTTTGGGTGTTGTTTGGTCTCATCACTCAGAAGAACATTAGTTTCTGAGCTCTAGTGGAATTTCAAAAGGAATTTTGGGTTAAGAGTTTCAAAAGCTAGATTTAAAAAAAAATTAAGTCCTGAATCTATAGACACCCAAGCCTCTTGAACTTTTACATACACCAGGAATAACGCTGCTATCTATGTGTTGTTACACGTGAATGTAAATCCCTTCAGTAGAAATACTTACCATTAAGAACAGCAGATATAAATAAGTACTTACTTTGTACTTCAAATAAAGCAGTATTAAAGCTCTTCTTTTGTTAAGACTTCTTCTACAGCAAGCATAAAGTTCAAACAACATTATGACAGGCATTTAAAGTGTTTTTTATTCAAAATATCATTCAAATAAGAATAAAATAATAAAAGCAAGGCAAATTTGGCCATAGAATATTGATAAAGCTGTGTCGCCTTCTCATTAGATGGTCTCTCGTCTTTTCAAATGCTTCCCTCGGAAATACGCATACGCTGTAGGCCCTAATTTCTGCTAGTTGCTCTGTATCTTAGCGTTTTAGGTACTTATGCCTGATAGTACCACCTCAAAAACCGGTGGAACGTCTGTGTTTGATACTACTATAACAACGTTACTCTTATCAATGCCAATTAGGAACTTTGGCTATTTTTTCCAGTTACGAAAGTGTGCTATTTGCTGTTTGTAAACTGCTAAGGGAAGGCCATACTACAGGAGACTATAAGACTACAGAAGACTTCGCCTTTTGTTTATCTGAAGTTTTCAGCCAGTAAATTCAGTAAGTAGCAGAATCTGAAATAGTGAAACGTAGCACTTGGTCTTCCTTTCATTTAAAGTATTAACACTTAGAAGTAGAAGGACTAAAATGATAATACTGATGATAGACAATTATGATTGCATTTGTCATAAAAAGATGATAATAATACACTGATCTATTACCATGGTACAGTAATCGAGTGCAAAAATTACAGAACTGCTTCAATACTTTTCATAGCAGTGCTTCATAAAAGATTACAGGTAAAGCATTCCAGACGAAAGATCAGAGCATTTTAGAATTACATGTTTGGTTGTGAATTCTAGTTACATTTGCCTGCATGTGCAGTTTTACAGGTCAACAAAGCTGAAACCGCCTTTTGATTCCCAGCAAGTCCCACCTACGAATTCAATTAATGTAGGGAAATTTAACAGCCACTCTATTTGGAATATTCTGTAATTGCTGACTTTCTAAAGGTGGCAAATATATTTTAACAACACTCACCCTCACAATTTTTTCTAGAATGAGTAAGTTTTTTAATTTCTGCTTTGCAACTGGCTTCACTCTTAGTTGTGAAGTAGAGAAGACAGAAGGCATGGAACTGACACAGCTCTCAAAGCACGGAAAGGCTAACTTGCAAACACATACATCCTGCCAGGACACAGGATGTTAAACCACTAGAACTGCCTCGGTTTGTCTACATAGTTACTTCTCACTTTTCTATCCATCTAACAAATTAATCCAGAAGACTGTGATATTTCGGGCACTTTCCAAAACACACTCCCTGCTCTGAAGAGCTCTGAAGTTATATTTACCCAATAAAGGTCTGAAGACCGAAATTGAAGGACTGCAGCACTTCAGAGACAGTGGGTGCTCAGGAAACAACTTTGACTCTCCATTTCCCTCTTCTATTATTCTAGCCATAGAGAAAAAGCAGGATTTCACAAAAAGGAGGAAGTCAAAATGTGTGTGTCTGTCAGAGGTGCCAGAAAAGCCAAGACAGATGTCAAAGCAAAAGAGAGAGAATATTTTCTTCCAACTGCCCTTCCTCCCCGCCCAATAAGAGCAGACCTAATCATGGTTCTTCTTACATTCAAAACATTCTGTTTATATTCTGTCATACTATTGATTATTTGATCCAAATTCCTTATCATTTTTCAGCTTTTCTTTCCTTGTACGATTTTTTTATGGAGTAGTATTCAACACCTGGATAGAGTTCACATTCACAGTTTCAGTCCATCTTTGTAACTTCTTTCTGTGTACTCTGGAGTTGATTCCGAGTCTTCTTATTCCATGAGAGATTTGATATGCAACACACATGCCAAATAAAAAGACTTCTAAAAACTCCAGCCAACCCATTCCTGTACTGCCTAAAAGCAGAAAATGCCCTTACAGTCATTTCTTATTTTAGAAAATGTTGCTTTGAAGTAAATCTTCACATAAAGTGTGTGCCAAACTATTGTCCAAATGATAATCGTGGTCTTTGGCCAGTAAGTGTCAAACAAATACTGATGAAACTGTATCTGCTATACCTACAAATGAAACAAAAAATTGTTTTTAATAAATACTGGAAGTGGAGACTTGCCAGAAATAAGTTCCCAGAATTCACTTCGTATCATGCCCTCTCTCCTCCGTGCCATGACAGAAGGTGAACTGCTGGGGTTGTGGGGAGCGGGCAGAGAATCAGCTGCAACCCTTTTTTCTTCATTGCCTGACACTATTTATAGCTGTGCTCTACACTCCTCCCTCCTCTGCTTTCATGTTCGAAACTTTAGATCCTCTTTGAGGATTCAGCATTGGTCCAATCTGGGTGCTGAAAAGCAATCTAAACCTTGATATCCTCTGCCCTTTTAATCATATTCATTAGCTATGGATAGACAATATGAAGCTATGTAGCTTTGAAAGCTCACCAAGACTAGAGATCACAAATTCCATTACAAGACACATTTCTGAACACTCATACACACACAAACACAGGGCAAACTAAGCTTTTGTTCATGCTCAGTTCTTTTTGCATTGTTGTACTCCTCCCAGCACTAAAAGCAAAGTCTGACTACAGCCTGTGAAGGTATCGAAGGGTGATGGATCTTATACCCTCAAAAGTGGTGTCAGCGCATCTCTAAATCAGAAGGCAACATCTGTGGGGGAAACAGAGCAACTATTGGCCTTTGCTGGCTTGTTCTTGTGTGACACGCTACAGAAAATGTGAAAGATCCTGCTTTTTGAGAGAATGGATTTTGAAAATAACACAGCTGTTCTTCCTGACCACTTCTACAATTGACTTGCTTTAATTATCACTACTTCTAAATTTCTCTTTCCAAATAGTTTGTTTATACAACAACAATAAGAACAAAAGTTTCAGTAACATGGAAAAGCTACGATTGGATACATTGTCCTGACCTTTACTGAGTGCAGGCAAATTGAATATTATCTATTCTTATTTGCAGATGATTTACATCATCTAACACCTTTTACAATGACTGAGAGAGCTACTGTGAAACATACATGGAAGGGAAAGCCAACAGAAGACCTACAGGGTTAATCTAGCAGACAAAAATTCAATGGACGCACAAGACTTGCTATTTAGTAGTCCAATCCCAGCAATTTGGCTCAGCAATCTTTGCTGGTAAACAGGAGCTTCACCTCCCTTACCTCCATATCCAGCAACTCAGAAGAAACTGGGTATTTAACACCACAAAACCCCCTCAAACACCAAGAAAAACCTCATGCAAATGGTAAGAGGGCGGGAGATGGAACTGGCAATAACAGTATATACCTCTATCCTACAAGAAAAGCCACAAGCAGGGTACACAGTTCCCAAGCACAGGCAGATCCACATTCCGTATTTGTTTGCTAAACTGAGCCGAGAGATAATTGCACCCACCAGACGAGGACAGCAGCTGTTTTACCTACACTGAGTATAGTGATGGTGCCAACCTACAACCATGATACGTGACTCTACACTTTACAGTGCCATTACCTCTACGTGGTAAGGTACAATAGCATTTAAATTTGTTATGCCTTATACACCTTTACCTTTGCATGGTGTTTTTCAGTCATTCAACTATATGGCTTGGTTGAACTAGCAACCACTTTATTTATTTTTCCACCTGGACTTATCTAACCTCTTTTAAAACATAGCAATGATTTTTATTTCCTCTCTGAGGATCCCATTATATCGCTTTACTTACATGGAGAAACATGTCCCAGTGTGTGGCCTTTGACACTTCAATTATTTTTTGTCAGACTTACCACAGACATTGCCGCCTATCTTAACACGAACATAGCCGTCTATTCCCCATGTGGACCCCCAAGAGTTCTGTACAATCCAGTAAGGGATACTACCTGGAAGAGACATTTTCGTGAACAAGAGACAACATGAGATGTGGGAAGCATAAAAAACTTCTAACACTCTACAGAGTTAATTACCATTTTAATATCTCATAGTTTATGATGGTTTGATGGTATTGTACAGTGAAACCTACTGCTGTTCACATCGAGGACAGAGCTAACAGTCCTGTGTTGAACAGACTGGATATATCCTCTGCTAGCATAAAGACACATATAGCCGTGTCCATGACTTTACAGGGACATGAAGTCCCACAGAACTGAAGGAGCACAGACAAGAAGAGTATTCCTCCCGGGATCAGACTGCACTTCCAGAACTGATGTGACACCAAACCAAACAGGTCTTAACGGAACACCCAGTTGTGGATTTTAATCACCTGCCCCACAGGAGGCAAGTTGCAATTAAGAGAAAAAACACAAAACCTACTGGGTTGAAGTTCAGTTGATGGAAACGCACCTGTTCTGTCAAAACCAGTGATTAGAACAGCATGATTTGCTCTTCCACTGGAGCAGTGATACTGTATGATCCCACCAAGATAATCCTGCCAGCTAACCGCATCTACTGTTACTGCCAAAGGGCCCCAGTTAACAAGCATCCTCATCATTTCTTCTTCCTGACCGCTGTGAAAGAAGCGAGTGACTTAAGTTAGCACGCTAAAGCAACTTGAGAGGTGGTAATCTACTTGTTAAGTACAATTTTAAAATCAAACAATTCAACTGTTTCTTATGAGTGCTACACACCACATAACACACATCAATAAATATGTATTTCATATACTACAGCACAGTATTACAAATATAGGGCACGCAGACTATGGGAAAGGTGCAGATCCAAAGATATGATGCTATTAAAAAGAAGCAGATTTCTGGGTCAAGTCAGTGGGCAACGGTGAGCACTATGTACCTTTCATACATCACTCAATTAAAAACCACCTTTGGACAAAACATTAGTCTATACTATTATTTCCCCTTAGTTTTTCAAACATGCAGAAGTACCTCTTACATCATACATAATAATACACTAAAATATGTATCTCAAACATATCAAAACACAGGACATTACCACTATCAGACTTCACCATTAGCATCCTCATACAGTTTTATTTAGGTAATATACTGGAACAGGAAAGCTTTATCACTGCATGGTATGTGCAATAACTAAATTTGGCAAATACAGACTGGCAAAGCTGTAACTGATTTTAGTTACTTATATCTGGCAGTAATTCAGTTCCTAGTCAAAATTATATTTCTTGTCTTGAAGTTCAGTACGCAGCTGCATTGTACTGATGAAAATTAGAAACAAACTTTCTTGGTACAGAAACCTAAAAAGCTACCAGTTGTCTTTACAAAATTCAGTTGACAACACTGTTTGCTAAGTCATGGACTGGAGGAGGATGTGGGTGGGTATGTAAAAGGATGAATACTGAAGTAACTGGATACTTCCTACATTTTTCAACAAATTCCAATTATTATTGGTAGAATTTACCCTTTCCAATACTTAAGCAATGTAATGTACACTTAGAATATATTTAAAATTGTACCGGACTCAATGTTCCAATTTAAACACAGCCAACTGGAAAGACCAAATTTCAAGACACTGACTTAGGCTTTCTAATTTGAACAAGCTTAGTGATGGTAGGATTGAGTGGATTCATTGTGGCAAGCCATAACCCTAAAAAATGTTATGTATTAATTCTTACCCAGTACAGAACCGATGCAATCAACGTCATAACCTTTGGCTGGTCAATGCACTATTGGCTCTAGCTTACTCCACAGTTAATGAACACAGAAGGAAAAGTACAGCAAATAAAAAGAATCAATAGCAGCTACCTGAAGTCATATGCAGCAAATCCTGTTATTGAAACTCCAAAATCTGAGTGACCAAAATAATGGCACAGTCCTGTCTGAGCTTTAAAAGTGTATTCTGAATCTCTCACAAGTTTTACTTTTGTCTGCAAGAAGATAAATGAATCAGAATTTAATGCATTAGCGCTATGCAGATCAAAACAGACAGTGAAACTGACCACAGAACTCACTCAAAATTCAGTGTGTTCTTGGTGAGATTAGAAATAAGAATGTCATTTTGGGAAATAAGATATTTACTATCTCTAGTTTCCCTGTTGGCAGAGAAAGCTTCAGAAGGGATTAAGAAGTGTTTAAATAATGAACAAAATTTAAAAGGTAACTCTGGTTTAAACTAGCCTCGTGAGCAATCTCATCAATTTCAAGACAGAGACTAGGCATTCATTTAATGAATAACCATTCATTCTCCTCAAAATTATCCTTTCCTTGGGACAGTTCAAGAACCACAAATATCATAGAATCATAGAATAGTTTGGGTTGGAAGGGACCTCTAAAGGTCATCTAGTCCAACCCCCCTGCCGTGGGCAGGGACATCTGCAACTAGATCAGGTCGCTCAGAGCCCCGTCCAACCTGACCTGGAATGTTTCCAGGGATGGGGCATCCACCACCTCTCTGGGAAACCTGTGCCAGTGTTTTACCACCCCCAAGAACAGTTCTATAAAATATTGAAATTAAGTCCAATTCTGCTATTAGCATCAAATCCTCATGCCAGTATATAATGCACTATAATGGCTGCCACAGTTCCAAGTCCAGCTACAAAGGTATTGCATCAACCTTTTGCACTTTTCTTGCGTTCTGCGGTACAGCACATTTATGACAGTGCCTTCTCCAGTCTAATTCATTTGTAGTCCCTCTGTTACCGAGCAAGAGGGAATTTTGCTTCAGAGGAATCCAGATGAATAACCTCCATCTTTCTTCAAATGCAAACTTGAACAAGTTATCTAGACTGTTATTAGCCGGGATTATATGAATCTTCAGGGGCAGAATTACAGAGTTCCTTAAAAAGGACAATCAGCTTTTGTTTTTAAACTTCACAAAACTAAGAGATCCTTTTTATATTCCTATAACTCAAACTGTTGTCCTAGAGAATACTTTTTATTTCACAGATATTAAAATGTTTCTGCTTACATATATTAACACACATTTTGTGTTTTTCATGAACGAAATGTGTTAGCTACAACTGAAGTAGAATTTCTTTTTGAAATTATGTCTGCATTTTCATTGTTTTGGGTTGCAAGTGAAACAAAGGTAAATGCAGTCAATATTATTCTGAGGTGCTCCACGCTCCTGCATGATTTTACAGTGTTTGCAACAGAAACCACAGAAATTTGAAAGCAGAAAATCTCAGCATCCCTTCTCTTCCCCAGGTGCTGGTGCCTAAACTGGACACTCAAATCCACAAAATGACACGTGGATAAATGGCTCCTTCTGCACTGGTACTGTATGTCTGCAGTTCCAACTGACTCCAGTGGAAATACTGCAGCTTTCAAGAAAACATTACTTTCAACCCTTGTGGGTTGATTTGTTACATTCACAAGAACATATATAGACCATAAAATTCGAATCAAGTTTCAATACTGCTTGAACAAACTCTCTTGATTCCAGACTAAATAAATATGCATACATATATACACACATATGTATGTGCATATACACATATATACACACATACCAAAAAAAATCAGATGAGCTGTACACTCCACCTTCCCCATCACTTTTTCCCAGTAAAAAAGAATGTCAATATGAAAGCTAAGGAAGGGTTCGAGATTTATGAAAAGTTTCAAACCTGGTTCAGCCAGCTCAAAGCACTAACAGTGGATCCCCCGCTGCAGCCATAATTATTGTATGAACAGTCAATAACCTGCTGTACGCTGAGTTCTTCCAGGTTATTTCCTTTAATTGCATAGGCAGACTCTATACCACCCACAACGCTGAAAGCCCAGCAGCCTCCACACTGGTGCAAAGAGACGGGAAACAGGGGAGAAAGAAGAAGTCAGCTTTGTTTTTGAAGCCTGATAAGAAAAGAAAAAAAGTCAAAAGGGTCTTCTGATGCTCTTCATTTACTACGTCATCCTTGAACTTCATTTTTAAGGCAACAATAAAGAAGTTTAATCAAGCCATTTAAAATATTGAACTGTTTTTTCTCCTGTACTGCTCTCTGAAAGCTAGAAATGCATTATGGATGTCTTATCTTAAGGATTCCTGCATTGTGGTTGCCTTATTTTAAGGATTCCTTCCTGATTCATTTTTGCCCTTTAAGATAGGTCTGAGGATGCTTTTTACTGTGCGGTATCTATTTTCTTGAAGAAGGATTGGGGCTCAGGATGAAATTATTTTTTAACCACATTAGTTAGTAAGTTTTTGAAAAGGATGCACTTAAGGAGACAGTCTACAACTTTCTACAGTCCAAAGAATTTTATAGAAATATGTTAGATTACAGTTTAAGAAACAATAAACTGAAATTAAACATAATAGAAAAATTCTTAGGCAGTAACAGAATCTATACTGCAGTTCTAGGCTCTTTAAACTGGCATTTAAAATAGGAAGCAGAATTTATTCCTAGGCAAGGTCCAGGTTATACTATGTGAAGCACAGAAAGGAAAGACATTGGGGATTTAACAGCTTATTTGCTTCTTACCAATGACCATAACCACTTTCTTTCGGATAAACTGTAATCATGTGGGGTTTGGTTATCTTCCTATCATGAACGCATCCCCTGAGGTGTTCAATGGTAAAGACATGGGTGTTGACCAGCCAAGGGCATTCAATCATGAGAGAAAACAACAGCAAAGGATCTATACCCATCCAGGTGAAATGGGGGGATGAGGTCAGGTACTGAACTTACCCCAGTCTCTTCAGAAAACCACAAAACACACATGGTGCAAAATATTTGCAGATTTAGTTAACTAGATCAAAAAATGTATTACACACAGTTTATAATTGCACAATTTCTAAATGCACAACTTTTACATCTCATACTTTTAAGCCTAATCCCACTTTGCATAAAATGCTACCTGACTTTGTATATGTTCAACCAGCCATACTTGTGCCAGTGCTCCAAGGAGTCTTGAGGCAGTGCTGGTCCCTTCCAAAACCTTCACTGTGCTCTACAACATACCTGCTGGAACTGTCTCTGGGCAGTGCTTGAGAACCAGGAAAGGAAAATACCAGGACTTACTGTTTGCTGATTTCTCACTTCTGCAATGACTTTCTTGTCCCTCCAGTCAAACTTCTTTGGCAAAGGTTTTTCCTTTCCCTTTGGCACTTTTATGTATCTGGGAAGTTTGTGAGGTATGCTTCTTAAGTAAATAGCTAAACACAGAATACAAACATCTATAAATCTACTAACTAAAAAAACCCCACAAACAACTGTTTTACTAGAAGCCATAGAGGTAACTTTGATCTGTAGTTACAAACATGAGATTACATCTTGTTCCCAAATCCATAGAAAATTCATGTATTTTAAAATAATCATTATACTCCAGAATGAATGTAAATATTCCTACAGTTCTAGAAAGAACAGAAATATTCCATGTAGGGAATGTGGGTACAAAGTGTGAAGATTTACTAAACCTCATCAATAACCATGCCATAAAACAAGTTTTGTTTGAAAATTTTCACAAGATTTTACTTACTGGAAAAATATGACTTTATTTTAGTCAGGCGATGGGGAAAAATTAGAGGAGAATAATGTAAAGATTCTGAAACACACGCAAATTGATAGTTTTTCATTAAAAAAAGCTGCTTAATTATTGAAAATTAAAGAAGGTGTGAAATCCCCCGATGAATAGAACAGATAACAGCAGACTTGACAGCAAGAAAGGAAGATTAGGTTACGTATCAGACAAATTTTCTTAGTAATAAAAATTAAGTGTGTCATATTGCTCCTGAAAGTCATAGCTATCATTGTACAGCTGTGGACCTCCAAGCATTGTTTGGATTGTAGTCAATTTTGTCTTGGGTTAGGGAATAGGAACTTAAGACTACTCGACAACCTTGTGTATTTTCCAATTTTAAAACTGTTGCAACTGAAGAAGGCTTTAAGGCCCAGTGAGAAGAAAGAAGGAAAGAAGGAAAGAAAAGAAGGAACAGTCTGTATACTAAACCATATTCAGGCTCTGGGCAATTCAACCTTGCAAGACTAGAGAAACATGAAGAGGATTGTTGTATCCTTCAGAAGTACTTACAGTTTGGTACCAGACATTGTAAACTAGCTGACTATCAGCACTGGAAGAATCTGTAAATGTGAAAGACACAGGGTTCTGGGAAAGAATAAGAAAAATAACAGAAAAGGCATTAGCAGCAGCAGCCAGAAAATGTACCTTTGAACTCCTCAGGAAACAGGTGAGAAAACTCATTTATTCCATAGAAAGCAGTCTTATTATCTTTTGATGACAAATTCAGTAATCTAATTCTTTTAGCGCTTTCCTGAAGGAAAAAAAAATAGATTGTGGACATTATTAAGTTAGCAGTAGTGACAAAACCATAAGAGCAGAAAAAGAAAAGGTTAGCAACAGTAAACATGAACTTAGATAACAAGACAGCTGTTCACCCCAGATTCACCTCAGATTCATCGTGGATTCCTATCAAACCAATATGAAAGCCTAATTTCAACTCCAACAAAGATACCAAAAAAGCATTTGTTAAGTGCATAGAGGGTAAAAAATTGATATGAGACAGACAAAACAGGCAAGCTGAGGACAAATTGTGTCAAACTCATCCGATGCCCTTCTTTGACAGCACAACAAACCTTGTGGTTCAGATACGCAAAAATGTCTTCAGATAGAGTTAACCCTGTCTTGCTTCATGTCCTTATAAAGCAAAAGAACAGTATAATGGCCTGAAGACATTAAAACCCCTAAACTTTAAATTATCAGGACTCCTAAACCTCTGAAAAACATGTTTTTGACGTACAAAAGCAAGACAATCTGACACCTCCCTCCCCAACTTCTTCTGCTGACAAAGTTCAACATGAAATACAAAAAACTTAACGCCACCTTCTGCGCTTATGAAGACTTCATCACGCTCCCTCAGCAGAAGATGTCCGCTGGCGCATGCTGGGTTGTCACGCAAGGGAGGAACCCACGGTGGCATTACCTGCGGTCCCACCGCCACAGGCAGCCACCAACGCCACTCGGGGCCAGCAGCAGGCCAGGCTGGCACCGCACTCCCGGCGCGGGCCCTCAGCCCCGGTAACCACCCCACTGCCCCGTTAGACTGACACCCGCCCAGCCCCCCCAGGCATCCCTCGTCAGGCACCATGCAGGAAAGGGGGGCACCACAGCGGGCAGGGGGACGCCGCCCTGCCCGACTTTCCCGGTCGCCCCATTTGCCTGCGAAACCGCTCTGACAGGAACCCCTGTACAGCCGGAGGCGTGAGGCACGGGACGGGTGAAACCCGCTTCCCACCGCGCCGGGCGGCCAGCACGGGGTCCGGGGCTCCTCGGTCCGAAGCTGACACCTGGCGTCAGAAACGGGGAAGGGGGGAAAAGCAGCGACACCCCAACCCCAGCAACTTGAGGGGACGCCGAGCAGGCAGGGCCGAGGAATACGAAACAGCAAAGGATGCCGGAGCGGGTTTCGGTACTCCGGGCTGAAGGGCTCCGCCGTGCCACCTTCCTCCACCTCTCACCCTCCAGCCATCGGGCTAGCAGCGGCAAAGCGGCACGCCGCCACGCCTCCGGCAGAGCCCGCAGCCGACGCGATGGCAGCAGGCCCGCTGTGTAGCGCGGATCGCGAGTGTAAGTGCGGGCAGGGACACCTACCCGGAGGGCCGCCGCCGCCGCTTCTTTCTCCCAGCCG